TGTGCTAGTCAAAGCACCTAACAAAATTAACCATCACTTATCCACTAATACAATTTACTACTAGCTAGTTGTTATCGCTAATTGTCGGCCACAATTTATAATGAACATGCACTCGAGTTGTAAAAGAACAGAGTTGAGCTCGAGTCCTGATACTTGAACTCCAATCAAGTCCTTATCGAGTTGAGGCAAGATCAACTTGTTAAGTTAATAAGGCGATAAATGAGCTCAAACTCGTAACCTTAAGATAAATGATAAAAGTTTAGAATATTATATATATATATATAAAAAACCTCTACTTATCAAGCTCAACGATAGCTCAGTTCATCAACCAGACGAGCAAGCTCGAGTGTTAATAAAATGAGCTTACCAGCAGCTCGTTTAGTTTAAGATGTATACATAAAAATCTCGTCTCATTTCTAATTAGTCGCCTTTTAAAGCCCACATAAACTATTTCAGGCTTATCAGGATTTGGGTTGTTGGGCCTTACTTAAGTAAGGCACTAGAGCTGTAAATGAACAGAGCTGAGAACGAGTCCTGATACTTGGACTCCAATCCGAGTCTTTATCGAGTTGAGGCGAGTTCAACTTGTTAAATTAATAAGACGATAAATGAGCGCAAGCTCGTAGCCTTAAGATAAATAATAAAAGTATAGAATATTATATATATAAAAATAAAAAAAAAACCCTCTACATATCAAGCTTAACGCTAGCTCAGTTCATCAACCAAACGAGCTCGAGTGTTAATAAAATGAGTTTACAAGCAGCTCGTTTAGTTTAAGGCTTTTAAAGCCCACATCAACTTCTTCGGGCTTATCATGATTTGGGTTGTTGGGTCTTACTTAAAGTAAGCTCATTATCTTTTTCGGTAAATCCAATGCTCATCACTAGTCACTACTGAGAGTAAATAATGGAGCTCCCCAATTAAAACAAACAGAAGAAACAGTGACGAAAGAGCAAAACCCAGAATCTCACTCACCTGAAGGGGTCAAAATCCTGTCCTTTGCAGCTTCCCAAAGGTTCTTCACTTCACAGTCTCTCACTTACCTTCCCAGAAGCCAGCAGCCCTTGGCTCTAATTGCTATTAAACAATATTATTAGTAATTATTCATTCCTTCTTGGGCCGCCTCTTTGTCTCTGACCTGAAGTTTTGTTTGATCCGATCATGGCTCATTCAGTCCTGTGTCAGGTATTTCTCAATTGTGATCTCTCAAGAAGATACCCTTTTGTGTGTTTTGAATTGGGTTTGTCTAATTTTTGCGAAAATTTTTACATCTCGCAGGTCCCTGTAACGATCTCCGTCAAGAATGATGCTTTTGTTCCCAAGTCCGTTTTTAAGGTTCTTGATTGTTTGTATTTTTACTTATTGGTTTCAAAATTCGGCTTCTTCGCATTTTTGGGTATGTTGATTTGGAACTTTAATTAATTGGTTTGATACATTGGATTGCGATTTGCTTATCAGTTCAAACCCGATTTCGTGTTTATTTTCTATCAGTTTACTCCTTTAGTTGTACCTTTAGTCGTGCATTGGCTTGAATTCTTTGGCCTCGTTATATGTCATGAAACTCGTTCCTCAAAGGTTCGTAGATATTTACGCAGTTCCTTCGTAGTAATTAAATCTCATTCTATGGCAGAGCAAAAGTGTGTCCCTACACGAAAATTCATGGATGCCTCGTGCATTTTCGGATGTCAAAATTGCTAATTCATGGACAAGGGCTCGGCCCGTGATCTGTATGTCAGTGCAACAGGCCAAACTACCGAAAATTGCAGTTTCGCCCCTTAGTTTAGATGATGCGAAAGAGCCGCCACTACATTTGTACAAGAACAAGGAACCATACACAGGTACCATTGTCTCTGTCGAGAGGCTTGTGGGTCCAAAAGCTCCTGGGGAGACGTGTCATATCGTGATCGATCATGGGGGAAATGTTCCCTACTGGGAAGGGCAGAGTTACGGGATTATTCCTCCCGTATGTTTTCTTTATCCAATTCCTATTTAGCAAATAATCACATCTTGCTTTATTCTAGAACAAATTTGAAGCCTGGTAGTTATTTTCCTTATATGTGTATGTTTGGTTATTTGGTTAGCTTATAAGCTTCATGTATTCAAATAAACTTCGTTTGGTAGGACGAGTTTTTCTAAAAAGCTCGAGCTTTTCTCATAAACTTCTTCTTTGGGTAGCTTTTCAAATAAGCTCGTTGAACTTTTTATTTCAGCTAGCTTATCAGCTAATTTTACCAAACGCTTTTATTATATAAGCTAGTTTTCAACTATAAGTCACAAGCCACAGCTAGTATTACCACCAAACATAGACTATGTTTTCTTGGGTTGTGTAAATTGTGCTTAGAGTTCTTGCTGATCGTTCTTCTTTTCTTCTTTATGACATTCATGTTTTTTAACTCGATAAATGAAATGAAAGATGTCTTACTTAAGTGAATATTCGCTTACCCCCATTCACCGATTTCTGTTCTTTATTATTCTCAGCATATACCAATGGGACTTGGTTTTGTTCGAAGTATGAAATAAATATTTTTCCATTTAAACCAAAGGGAATCCTTCTTGCTCTGCATATTCCATAGAGTTCGCGCGAGCATTGCTTGTTACTTTATAGTTCTCAGCATATACCAATGTGACTTGGTTTTGTTCGAAAGGACCAAGTCTGAATAAATGTTTTTCCAATGTAAATATATTTCGTTTTTTCTTTTTCAATGTTCAGGGTGAAAATCCTAAGAAGCCTGGTAATCCACATAACGTTCGGTTGTACTCAATTGCATCAACGAGGTATGGTGACTTCTTTGATGGCAAGACAGCAACTTTATGTGTTCGGCGTGCTGTGTACTACGACCCTGAGACGGGAAAAGAAGACCCTTTTAAAAAAGGAGTGTGCAGCAATTTTCTATGTGATTCAAAGCCTGGCGATAAGGTTCAGATAACAGGTAAATTGCCATTGTGCTTAGTGAGGGTGGTACTTATGATTCATCCGAAACATACTCGTAAAAATCGTACAAATGTTACTGGGACTGCATCCGAGTGGGTTTCTCGGGACTCTAGAGTTGTATAGGGATAATTACGAAAAGGCCATGATATCGTTAAAACATGTGCAAACAGCAAAGTATCAATAAAATTTCATTGAATTCCTCGCGAATCTTAAAATCTTAAAAAATTTCAAATCTCGAATGTCAATCGATATCCCACTCCAAAGTCTCAACATGACAATTGAAATCTGAAAATCGTAAATATTTTGAATTTTGAGACATTTAACTTATTTGAGACTATGATTTGTTAAGACTTTTTAAGATTTGGTGGGATTTCTAAATATAAAAACATATACGAAATTTCACTCCAAATCTCACCTCCAGACTTAAGATTTTAAAGGATTTCTCCTAAGTTTGAAAATCTCAAAAAGTCTCAAAATGTCTCTCGAAATTCCCAGACGATTACACTAAAATTTCATTGAATTCCTCCTAAATTTGAAAATCTAAAAAAGTCTCAAAATGTCAATTGAAATTCCAAATGAATACACGCATTAATGGATTTCCGTTTTCTTTTCTTTTCGACTCCCTCCAAATAGACCAAAACACGAGGCATAATTTTCTAATATTACCTCGTTTTCCTACGATCCTGCAATTTTTTTTCCTCTCAGGTCCCTCCGGAAAAATAATGCTCCTTCCGGAAGACGACCCAAACGCTACCCACATCATGATCGGCACGGGCACAGGCGTGGCTCCTTTCAGAGGCTACCTTCGGCGCATGTTCATGGAAGCTGTCCCCGCGTTCAAATTCGGCGGGCTCGCCTGGCTTTTCTTAGGGGTGGCCAACAGCGACAGCCTGTTGTACCACGAGGAGTTCTCACGGTACGCTCGGGACCACCCAGACAACTTCAGGTATGACCTTGCTCTCAGCCGGGAGCAGACGAACAGGAAAGGTGGCAAGATGTACGTACAGGACAAGATCGAGGAGTACAGTGATGAAATCTTCGGGCTATTGGATCGTGGGGCCCACATATACTTTTGTGGGCTCAAAGGGATGATGCCCGGGATACAGGAGACGCTGAGGAGGGTGGCTGAGGGTCGGGGGGAGAGCTGGGACGAGAAGCTCTCTAAGCTGAAGAAGAACAAGCAATGGCACGTTGAAGTCTATTGATCGGGTCATTTTTTTTTTAAACATTTCGGGATGGTGCTCGAGTTAGAAACTCGGATTTGTTGTTTCTTGATGGGGAAGGTTTATGAACCTATGAAACACTGTGTGGTGGATGTGAACCTATTGCTGGTAGTCATTTCCTGGCCATTGAATTTTTATCTTTGTTTTGATGCAAATGAATGTCTGAATTGGAATTCTTAGGGAGGGATTGGACATGAATTCAACCGGTTTTTGACCGGTTTTGTTTGGTCAAATTTATTTTATTTTGAATAAAGGTTTTTGACCGATTTTGTGTGGTCGAAGTTAATTTATTTTGAATAAAGCAGATTGAGTGGATGATTTTGAGTTTGAAATTAAATAATATTTAAAGTGTAATGATTTAAATTGATGTCATATAAAAGTAGTAAAAAAATTATTGAAGTGACTGATAGTTAAAATTAAATGAGTACATGAATATTGACTCAAGTTGATTTGATGTGTGTGAATGATTGATATATATTATTTAATTATATTAATATGTAATAAAAGAGTTGAATTCAGTTGATTTTGAGCTAGATTGTCATAACCAGTGTTTTGTGACCCGGACCGGACCGGCGGGTCGACCCGGGACCCGGTCGACCCAGAGCCGGAACCGGTCCGGGTGGGTTAATTAGACCGGGCAACAACGGACCCGGTCAAACCCGGTCAAAACCCGGTCGACCCGGCCTTGACCCGGTCGACCCGGGACATTGACCCGGCTGGGTCAACCCGGTTGACCCGGTCTATATGTATTTTTTTATTTTTTTTTTGTTTTTTAATTTTCTTTTTCTTTTTACAAAATAAAATTATGTATATATATTTATATGATAAATATATACATATTATTACCACTTTAATCTACAAAGTTTACATACAAAATATTTAAATTTGTTATTTTTATGTATATTTATATATCACAAAATACTCTATATATAATTTTATAAATTTTAAAATTAATTATCCGTTTCAGCAATTGACCCGGTGACCCGGCGGTTGAACCGGTGACCCGGTGACCCGAAGACCTGCCCGGGTCGATTACCGGGCCGGGTTTAAAAACTATGGTCATAACTGATTAAAATCGGTTATAATTCATATCCAATCACTCTATTGATACACAAATAATATTTAAAATCGGTCATAACTCATACCCAATCACAGCTCTTAACATAACAGTATTACTCATCCTTCATAAAATTATAACTTATATCCAATCACGGCCTTAACACTCAAACAATATTTCTCATCCTTCATGACAGGCGCTATAGAGTCTGGTACATTAAATAATATTGTGCAAGTATGTATACTTTATTTAATAAACATGTAGTTTCATACTCGAATAATATATCATAAACAAGAAGTTAAATAAAATCATGACATTTTACGTATAACTATGCAATTTCTTTAAAATGTATGATAAGTTGATCAATTGTTAATTTGACTCATACTATAATTTCTGTAGTAATTTGATAATACAAGAATTACCTGACGTTAGTCAGAGGACACGTGGCGACGATTGATGCTCCGACGTCTTCCTGGACTCGTCTCCTTTGCTCCGACGCCTGCAAAACAGAACCCCGGGATTGTCCCCAGGGGTAGATCCTCCGATGCTTAAGTTAAAATCGGTATTAGGTTTTCTGAGGTGGTGGATGCGGAATGAATAGAAGAGAGAGTTTGGAGAGTTTTTCAGGGTTTCACAGTCCTCGGTATCGTGACTGTGGTCTCTGTGAAAGCGACAATACTTGTCCCGACTTCTTTTGTTTGTCGGGGTTCTCATCTTGGTTGGCCATCTGACATAGTCCTTATCTCGAATATACATCAAGATTTCATTCTTTGTAGCACGCAAAGGAGTATACCTTTCAAACCTCAGGAGGTTGGACCGATCCTTCGATGAGTTAGTCGTGACAGACAGCTTATCCCATACTTTTTTCCTCTTTCCGCCATTATCGTCACCAGAGTCCCTCATCCACTTTCTGTCTGAGGTCTCACGCTCATCATCCGCTCTTGACATCTCCTCAGCGTTGATGTATTTTTCAGCCATACTGAAGAGATCAGGGAGGGATAGAGGTGGTTTTTTTGCCAAAGAGAAAGCGAACTGTGAAGACTTTCGAACCCCATTCATGAGGGCGGCTAAGGCCACGGACTGGTCCAAGTCCTCAATCTCTAATGCCTCTCCATTGAAACGTTGGATAAACTCCCTTAGCGTTTCATTCGACCTCTGACGAACGCCCATAAGATGGGCTGACGCTTTCTTGTACCGTTTGCTGCTAACAAAGTGGTTGAGAAATTCTTGTGTCAATTGTTTGAAAGTATAGATAGAGGCGGCTGGTAGTGAAGAGAACCAAATCCTGGCGCTCTTTCTTAGCGTGGCCGAGAACGCTCGACATTTGTTGGCGTCGGTCTCCCCATGAAGCAGCATGAGAGCTTGGAAATTCTCAAGGTGGTCACGGGGGTCCGAAGTTCCATCATAATTCTCCATCTGAGGCATCTTGAAGCTAGAAGGAATTTCCTCTTTCATGATGCTATCAACAAAAGGGGACTCGGTGGTGAGAAAATATCCAACGTCGGCTTTCTGACTTCTTTCCACACCACTCCGAGCCTTTCATTCATCTCCTCAAGCTTTTGCTTAAGGTCGCCATCCTCATGTGTGAAATTTCTTCTCCCGAGGTCTCTTTTGGATCTGACCTCGGTCTCATCGTTAGGGGCTTTAGAACCTTCGCCATGGCTAGTTTCTCGATCCTTTCGATCTAGGGATGCTTCTTTTTTCATCATACCCTTCATCACGGTCTTCAGTTCAAGGAGTTCTTTTTCCACCCTCTGCAGTCATTCGGCCTCGGTCTCCGAGGTCGCCGGATTTTGTGAACTTTGGCCTTAGCTATGATTAGCCTGAGAGTTTGATTCACTTTATTGAGATTGATCATGTCGTGAGACGGCTCGCGTCCCTCGACTGGTTTCACCTTTCTTCCGTATCGCCATGAATCCTCTTCCTAAGTCGTCGGTCCCACAGACGGCGCCAATTGATGATACAAGAATTACCTGACGTTAGTCAGAGGACACGTGGCGATGATTGATGCTCCGACGTCTTCCTGGACTCGGGCCTCCCGAGGTTTGAAAGGTATACTCCTTTGCGTGCTACAAAGAATGAAATCTTGATGTATATTCGAGATAAGGACTATGTCAGATGGCCAACCAAGATGAGAACCCCGACAAACAAAAGAAGTCGAGACAAGTATTGTCGCTTTCACAGAGACCACGGTCACGATACCGAGGACCGTGAGACCCTGAAAAACTCTCCAAACTCTCTTCTATTCATTCCGCAGCCACCACCTCAGAAAACCTAAAACCGATTCTTACTTAAGCATCGAAGGATCTACCCCTGGGGACAACCCCGGGGTTCTGTTTTGCAGGCGTCGGAGCAAAAGATACGAGTCCAGGAAGACGTCGGAGCATCAATCATCGCCACGTGTCCTTTGACTAACGTTAGGTAATTCTTGTATCATCATAATTAATGAAGAGCCGGCCGGAAAATGCTTGGGGGCTTGAATGAGGAGTCGAACGGGAAGAGGAATTTACATTTGATTTTGAAAAAATAACAATAAATAACAATTTATACAAAAATAAAAATAATAAGTGATAGTAATAATAATAATACGGTCCGACATTCTATTTTTATAAATATGCAAATTTTAATTAAAAAATGATAATCACATTTGATAGTATAAAATAAGGGGAAATGTTACGTTCCATTACAGAATCATTCTGTCGGAGTTTGTAACCGTTAGATCAACTATTCCTGACGGTTATATGATGATCTAACGATTACAAACTCTAACGAAATGGTTTCGTAATGAGACGGTACCTAAAATAAAATAGTTGCTTTTTAAAACCGAAAAGTAAAAACAAAACATTCGCAGCAAAAAAGTAGTTATTGGTTGATTGGGAATGACAAGAAAACGGCCCTTTCTCCATTTTTCGTCCTACATTTTCTGCTCCGCCATCCTTCATCCAGATTGAGCCACCCCAAAAGCTCCATTTTCAAAGAAAAATCAAGGTAATAATGATTGCCCTCGATCATTTATACGCGAAAAATCGATTCTTTATCTCAACTCAATCTAGATACGATGCCGTATTGTTTCAATTTGTCGTCGTTTTTTTGGGGGTATCTTAAGTCTGTTGGCGTGAAATTTGTGATGCTGGGAATTCATTTGCTACGATTTTTTTTAGCCCTTTAGAGAATTTTCTCGAATTTTTAGGGAAACTGTGCGAGCCCAGATGAATGAATACTGGTTATGTGCTTTGTAATTATTGTGATGAATTTGCTCATGTCGTTCTATTTATTTGTTTTTATCTATGAATTTTTTATGGTATACATATAATAGGTGAGGGAACACACATTCTGTTTATATGAGACAGAACATGGGCCATTTTCCCTGAAAGGATTTAAGCTCTACTCAAACACAAGATTGATCCTTTTTTTTTTTTTCTCAATCCTATTGTTGGTAAACACTTGTTGCAGGTTTTCGAGAATAAAAGGGCGAAGTTTTGGTAGAATTGTGAAAACAGAGCAATGAGCCGGCAGCCGTCGTCCCTGGGGAGACCAACCTCAGGTGTGCACTTAGAAGAATTAGGGATGGTTTTTTTTTTTTTTTTTTCTTGATTTAGTTTGTGTTTAAAATGCTTTTGTTTAAGATTTCCTACCTAAATGTTGATCGAGGGATGATTGAAAATTATAAGTTTACTGTTTGTATTCTGCATTCTATTGAGTTATAAATTTGGGAATAGATGATTGAAAACTATATTATCAGTGTTTGTTTCCATCGCATATATGGCTTTTTATGTTTAAGTGTTTGTTTTCTTCCGATCACTCTGATTTCGGATAATCTGCACAGGTAAAAGGAGACTAAAAGAGCTTATGGTTCAACCTGATAATCGTGTATGTGCAGATTGTGGTGCTCCGGATCCAAAATGGGCGTAAGTTTCCACCACTTGTTTTTCTCTTTTCTCCTTTATTTTGGAGATTACTAGTTTATGCTCAGTTGCCACAGAAACTTTTACAAATACGTGTTAATGGGTCTATATATTCCATGAATATAAAAAATTAGCCTGATTTGAGAAACAAGTATAAACTTTGGTAAAGTTAGTTTGTTGATAACACTGCCATCGACAAAGATTGGGGAGATGCAAACATTGTAAATACATTGGAATACATCGTGCGCGTTTTAAACATATTAGAGACCCTTAGGGCTATGTCATGATAGAATGAGAACTTCTTGGACAGTAAATAAAATTACAAAAGATTGATCAATCTGTTTTTTCCTAAATTACTTGACTGCATTTTCAGATCAGCAAATATTGGAGTCTTTTTGTGCTTGAAGTGCTGTGGTGTCCATAGAAGCCTTGGTGCACATGTTTCTAAGGTAATTTACTTCTTTGTTTTCTTATTTTTTGTTGCACTGGTATATGCTAAGTCCCCTTACTCTTAAGTTTCTGATTTTTTTTTTTT